GCTCTGTAATCTGCAAACCTACTTTTGATTTATTGACATTCACCATAGAAATCTCATGCTCAGAGTTCTGAGTCTAGGACCCAAGGGAAAACATGAAATGGCTGTAAGAGAGTCTGTCTATGGCCCCGGTCACACAGGAGGATTTGATCCGCAAGAGGAACGGATCGGGGGCGCGATCACACCGCAACATCTGGGAAGCGGTGTGCACCCGTCCCCGATCCATCTCTTCGGCCCACAAACGTGCATCAAAAAGGTACTAGCAAAACAGCAGTACCTACCAGATGATGTGGGCCAACGAAAGGCGTCTGGTTGGGGAAGCGCCGATAGGCCGTCGCAGCTGGTGCTGTTCCCCATCCCACACATACACACAACCGCACTACTGCCGGTTTGCTGCACACCGTGTGATTGGCTGCTGGAGCATGGAGCCGCAGGGGCACATCGGATCGTGCTCCCGCAGTTCTTTTTGCTCCGGCTCTGATTTGCCGCCCTTCATCGGCGGATCATCCGGCTCGTGTGACTGGGACCAAAGTAAGCTATGATGCAGCAGCAGCAGCAGCAGAAGTGGAAGCAAGAGATGGCCAGTTTCACTGTGGGCCTGATGGAATACCTCTGGGGGCCTAATCCGGCCCCCGGGCCGCATGTTTGACACCCTTGGCATAGAGGAATCACAATAGAACAATGCATTGTTTTGATGTACTGTTTCAATGTATCTGAAGAAGCGTGGATGCACACAAAAGCTTATAACCAGAATTAAACTCTGATGGTCCTAAAAGTGCCCCTGGACCCAGGCTGTAAAATAGTTTTGTGTTTTTTTAAAAAAAATACTATATTTTAAAATAAATTTGTGGTCATACAAGGGTCAAGGCAACACTCTCAGATCTTTGCGGCGCCCCAAACTTTTGTGAGCCTTGCAGTTGCGTGAATTCTACAACTCGTAAAAACATTGGCCAGGCGGTGGTTTTAACTGAGAAACCCACCTGGGGAGAGTCGGCTTTCTCTGGAACGGAGACTGTGCTGTCTAAGAGCGATGCGGCTCATTAATATCGATTTCTGCTGGCACCTGCACCGTGAAATCTCGTTTTCTTTTCATGGCATAATATCTCTGTGTGTGCGCGTTCTCCTGCGTGCCCTTGAATTGCCAGTTTGGTATAGTAGTTAAGTGCGCGGACTCTAATCTGGGAGAACTGGGCTTGATTCCCCACTCCTCCACTTGCACCTGCTGGATGACCTTGGGCAAACCACAGTTCTGATAAGCGCTGTCCTTGAAAAAGAGCATTTTCTGTCACTCAGCCCCACCTCCCTCACAGGGTGTCTGTTGTGGGGAGGGGAAGGGAAAGGAGATTGTAAGCCGCTCTGAGACTCCTTTGGGTAGCGACGGGCGGGGCATAAATCCAGTCTCCTCCTTTTCCTCCTCCTCCTCCTCCTCTTCTTCTTGTTCTTCTTCTTTGTAGTGGTTAAGTGTGTGGTTTGCGCAAGTTGTGGAGAGGGGAAGGGAAAGGAGATTGTAAGCCACTCTGAGACTCCGTTGGGTAGTGAAGGGCGGGGTTTAAATCCAATCTCCTCCTCCTCCTTCTCTTCTTCTTCTTCGTGGTTAAGTGTGTGGTTTGCGCAATTTGTGGAGAGGGGAGGGGAAAGGAGATTGTAAGCCACTCTGAGACTCCGTTGGGTAGTGAAGGGCGGGGTTTAAATCCAATCTCCTCCTCCTCCTTCTCTTCTTCTTCTTCGTGGTTAAGTGTGTGGTTTGCGCAATTTGTGGAGAGGGGAGGGGAAAGGAGATTGTAAGCCACTCTGAGACTCCTTTGGGTAGTGAAGGGCGGCCTCCAAAGCAGCCGTTTTCTCCCGGTGGACTGATCTCTGTTGCCTGGAGATCAGTGGTCATTCCGGGAGGTTTCCAGACCCCACCTGGAGGTTGGGAACCCTGCAAGAAGTGGAGCAATGTTCCCTCTAAGCTGTGGAGTCTTGTGAGCAAAAATTCTACTTTGTGAGCATTAAAGTTGTGAGCAGGTGATTTGGCTACTGGATAAATTGATTTGCTCTGGAGCCATCCTTCGTGAGCTAAGACAAAAAGGTGTGAGCCAGAGGCTCAAAAACCGTGAGCTAGCTCACACTAACTCAGCTTAGAGGGAACATTGCCTCTAAGCTGTAGAGTCTCGTGAGCAAGAATTCTACTTTGTGAGCGACTGGCGTTAAAGTTGTGAGCAAGCAATTTGGCTGCTGCCTAAATTAGTTTGCTCTGGAGCCCTCCTTCCTGAGATAAGGGGAAAATGTGTGAGCCGGAGTAAAAAACTGTGAGCCAGCTCACACTAACTCAGCTTAGAGGGAACACTGGTTGGGAACCCTGCAAGACGTGGACACAGGCTTCTGAGAAAACAAAGGGCAATGCGAAGAAGTGGAGACTCTGAGTGAAGGGCAAGGTATAAATCCAATCTCCTCCTCCTCTTCCTCCTCCTCCTCTACCCGAAGGAGTCTCAGAGCCACTTACAATTTCGTTTCCCTTCCCCTCCCCACAGCAGACACCCTGTGAGGTAGGTGGGGCTGAGAGAGCTCTCTCGAGAACTGCCCTTGAGAGAACAGCTCTGTGAGAGCTTGTGACTGACCCAAGGTCACACCAGCAGCTGCATGTGGAGGAGTGGGGAATCCAACCCGGTTCTCCCAAGATTAGAGTCTGCTGCTCCTAAACCACTACACCAATACTGGCTCCCAGGACAAGACATTCCTAAACTCTTCTAGGACTCATATAAGGTTGTTAACCTCAGGTAGAGGCTGCAGTTCTCCTGGAATTATACCCGACCTCCAGAGGACAGAGGTCGGTCCCCCTGGAAGACATGGCTGCTTTGGAGGGTGGGCTCTGTGGCACCACATCTCCACTGAGGGCCCCATCCCTCCCCAAACCTGCCCTTCCACAGCTCTGCCTCTAAATCTCCAGAAATTTCCCAGTCTGGGCAGCCTCCAGACCCTTAGTCTATTGAAGACCAGGGGTCATTTCGTAGAAAAAGAGGTGCAGGAGCTCATTAGCATGACTCATTACTGTCCTCACAGAGGAGGGAGAGCTTGTACCTGAATAAAATTTGGTCTTAAAGGTGCCAGTGGACTGTTTTGGGGTGGGGGGCGGGCTCTGCAACATACCTGGCTGCTTCCTGCTCTGACTGGGGGCTGCTGGGAGCAGGGGGTGGGGCTTGTTGCATGTGCCCGCCCCCTGGGCTCTTTACTGCTGGCGCTCCGCTCCTGTGCGCTCCTGCAGGAAATGACCCCTGTTGAAAACAGGTGTGTAGGATGGGGCGTTGACATGCTGGATCCTTTGATGTAGAATTCTGTTGACAGGTGAGTGGGTGAACCTCTTTGAGAATGAGCCTTATCCATTAGGGGAGGGGCTGTGGCTCAGTGGAAGAGCCTCTGCTTGGCATGCAAAAGGTCCCAGATTCAATCCCTGGCATCTCCAGTTAAAAGGACCAGGCAGGAGGTGATGTGAAAGGACTTCAGTGGCTCAGTGGAAGAACCTCTGCTTGGCGTGCAGAAAGCCCCAAGTTCAATCCCCGGCATCTTCTGTTAAAGGACTGGGTAGTAGATTTGGTGAAAGACTCAGGGGCTCAGTGGTAGAGGCTCTGCTTGGCATCCAGAAGGCCCCGGGTTCAATCCCCGGCATCTTCCGTTAAAGGACTGGGTAGTAGATTTGGTGAAAGACCTCGGGGGCTCAGTGGTAGAGCCTCTGCTTGGCATGCAGAAGGCCCCAGGTTCAATCCCTGGCATCTCCAGTGAAAAAGAACCAGGCAGTAGGTGATGCGAAAGACGTCTGCCTGAGACCCTGGAGAACTGTAAAGAGAGGGCTGGTGGCTCAGTGGTGGAGCCTCTGCTTTGCATGCAAAAGGTCCAGGGTTCAATCCCCAACATTTCCCGTTGAAAGGACCAGATAGAAGGTGATGTGAAAGACCTCAGCCTGAGACCCTGGAGAGCCATGGAGAGGGGCTGTGGCTCAGTGGAGGAGCCTCTGCTTGGCATGCAGAAGGTCCCGGGTTCAATCCCCAGCATCTCCAGTTAAAAGGACCAGGCAAGAGGTGATGGGAAAGACCTCTTCCTGAGACCCTGGAGAGCTGTAAAGAGGGGCTGTGGCTCAGTGGAGGAGCCTCTGCTTGGCATGCAGAAGGTCCAGGGTTCAATCCCCAACATCTCCAGTTAAGAGGACCAGGTGGGATGTGATGCGAAAGACCTCTGCCTGAGACCCTGGAGAGCTGTAAAGAGGGGCCGTGGCTCAGTGGAAGAGCCTCTGCTTGGCATGCAGAAGGTCCCCGGTTTAATCCCCAACATCTCCATTTAAAAGGACCAGGCAGGAGGTGATGTGAAAGACCTCTGCCTGAGACCCTGGAGAGCCACAGAGAGGGGCCGTGGCTCAGTGGCAGAGTCTCTGCTTGGCATGCAGAAGGTCCCAGGTCCAATCCCTGGCCCCTCCAGTTAGAAAGGGCCACACAGTAGGTGATGTGAAAGACCTCTCCGCCTGAGACCCTGGAGAGCGGCTGTCCTCAACTAGAGGACGGATCTGCCTTTATATTGAGAGATAGGCCCCGCCCAGAGCGCTCTCCTCCAGTCAGTGCGTGGGGGCGGGGCCGTTGGTGCCAGGGGGACAGGGGGGGCCGACTCCTGGTAGATGGCTTCCCGGCCAACCAGTTCCAGGGTTTGTTTCCTCCGTCGGGCCGTCGCCGCCACATCGTAGAAGGGGAAACCCTTCCCGGGATGGTGCAGAGCGGTGCATCGGCTTCCGGATGGTTCTGTCTGTTCCAGTACCGCTCCTGACACGCTGCGAACTCTGGCACTGCCAGCCGCCTCGGTGCTTGTCAGGCCGGGGAGGCCATTAATGATTAATCGGCAGGAGAGGCAGAGGAGGGAAGAGCCTCGGCCGGCTCCAGCTCCCCTCCGGATTCCGAAGGAGACGCCGCGCGGGCCTCCCCCCTCGCCCACGGGAGAAACTGGCAGGCTTGTGAATGGAGAGGCGGCGGCCCCTCGCCGGCATGGATGGGCAGCTCGCGGAGGACGGCCAAAAGTAAGTCCTCCGCCGCTGCTCGGTTTGGTGGTTTCCCCACCGCTTGGCCACGTCTGCTCCTAGCGCCGGCGGGGTTAACTTTCGGAATTCGCTGATGGTTTTGAACGCTTCGCGAAAGTTCGGCCTACCGGTTTGTGGTAGCTCAGTGGAGCTTCCATGTCCGAAGGCAGTACATCTCCGAAGCCAAGGCTGGGGAGGGACGAGACGGCGGGGTTGTTTGCCGCCGGGTCTTTCTGAACGGTCTCCCCGAGGAGGTCGGGAAGCTCCCCGCTCTCCTGGCTTTCCACAAACTGTGCAAAACCGAATCATACAGGAGGGCTTCTCTATGTGGGCAATAGAGTTGCACGAAATGATTCTCAGAGCTACTTGGATGAATTGTTAGGGACTGTGGTCTGTGCGGCTATGTGTAGTTTGCTGTCAGATGGATCCTACTACTTTGATCTAACAAGTGTCTAACAAGGGAGCGTATGGGAGGGGGGCAGTGTTCCCTCTAAGCTGAGTTAGTGTGAGCTAGCTCACAATTCTCTAGCCTCCGGCTCACACATTTTTGTGTCCGCTCAGGAAGGATGGCTCCAGAGCAAACTCATTGATGCAGTATCCAAATTGTTTGCTCACCACTTTGATGCCGGTAGCTCACAAAGCAGAATTTTTGCTCACAAGACTCTACAGCTTAGAGGGAACATTGGAGGGGGGGGCGCCTCTCCTCCCTCTTATCCTCAGAACAACCCTGTGAGGCAGGTTGTGCTGTTTGCTGTAGTGGTTAACGAGTGCAGACACTAATCTGGAATAACTGGGTTTGATTCCCCACGCCGCCACATGCAGCTGCTGGTGTGACCTTGGGTCAGTCACAAGTTCTCTCAGAGCTGTTCTCTCAAGGGCAGTCGGAAGAGCTCTCTCAGCCCCACCTCCCTCGCAGGGTGCCTGGTGTGGGGAGGGGAAGGGAAAGGAGACCGTAAGCCACTCTGAGACTCCTTTGGGTAGTGAAGAGTGGGGTATAAATCCAGTCGTCTCCTCCTCCTCTTCTTCTGTAAGTGCGCGGACTCTAATCTGGGAGAACTGGGTTTGATTCCGAACTCCTCCACTTGCACCTGCTGGATGACCTTGGGCAAGCCATAGTTCTGGCACAGCTGTTCTTGAAAAAGAGACGTTTCTGTCAGAGCTCTCTCAGCCCGCCTACCTCACAGGGTGTCTGTTGTGGGAAGGGGAAGGGAAAGGAGACTGTAAGCCGCTCTGAGACTCCTTTGGGTAGTGAAGTGCAGGGTATAAATCCAATCTCCTCCTCCTCCTTCTTTGAAGTGTGACTGGCCCAAAGTCACCCAAGCGAACTTTTTGGTAGAGTGAGGATTTGAACCCAGTTCTCCTTCGTCCCACGCTGAGCATGCCCGCTGGCTGCTGGCGGGCTTCTTGGGAGCACATGTTGATGAAAGCCCCATAGATGTGAGGGTCTGATCCCACAAAGTCCTTCTCGTAGTCTTACGTGGAGGGAAAGACGCCAGACGGAGCGGGGGGGGGAGATTTAACGTTTGCCTACTTCAGCTTTCAAAGAACTGAGCCAGTGAGGTACAGTGGCGGGGTGCACAATTTTTTTGAACCTGTGGGGGCCTTCGAAATTCTAACACAGGGTGGTGGGCGCAAAGACAAAACGGCTGCGGCGGGAGGTGGAGCCAGTGACAAAATGGTTGCCGCGGGAGGTGGAGCCAGCAACAAAATGGCTGCTGTGGGAGCCAGCCACAAAATGGCAGCCACAGAACACAAAACGTCAGGGGAGCAAGATCTTGCTTGAAATCTTTTAATCTATACAGCTCGTCAAGATTTCCAGGGGCCAATCAGAAGCCTTGGTCAAAAACTCCACCTGGCCCCACGCCGGCTTTCTGAAAGCACTTGACAAATGCCGGGAAAGGTATTGGTTGCTGTCATGGCGCCCCAGGGCGCCACGTTGGGGACCCCTGGGCTAGAGTATCAGAGATGAGGTTCAAATCTCACTTGGCTTGACCGTAGGCCCGTCGCCCTCTCTTGGCCTGACCTACCTCACAGGGTCGCTAGGAGGATGGAACGGGGGAGGGGCAGCCGCGTACGTTGCCCTGATCTCTGCGAAGGAAAGGGGGGGGAGGGACGAAAATGCACCGGATCGATAGGAATTTCACGGAGATGAATTGGCGAGTGGGAATTTTGCTGATGCTCAGGATCTGACCGATCTCCCTCCCGCTTTACGAAGCTTTTAAAATTCTGCTAAGCGCTGTAGGGGAAAGGAGATTCGCTGCCAAATGGGCCCGCCGCCGAATATGGATTGCATAAAAGAGGGAAGGGGTGGAGAGGAGCCAGGCGGCAGACCAGCCCATTCGGAGCGCGGCCTTTTCGGAGCGACCAGATGGATCGGCCACACAGCCGGACTCCGCTCCGGCCCCCCCTCCGCCCCGGCCAGCAGCCTGGCCACTTACGCATCATCGGGATGGTTTCTCTCTGTTTACATCCCAGGTGGCACCAGCCGTGCCAGGTTCCCTGGTGTCGTTCCTGGTGTTTCTAGGAAGTCGGTTAGAGCAAATTTCCCTTGGCAGGGCGCCCTGCGGCCCAGCCCTTGACACGGATGCCCGGAGCAGATAAAGGCGGTGGAGGAGGAGGACTGGATGGGAGTTTTGCCTCCCCAAAGGATGAGCTGGTGCTTGGCACGGAAAAGTGGAAAAGTCGTGTTGAGCAGAGACTTGGGGGGGGGGAGGGGGTCAGCAAGGAGAAGGGGAGCAAGCAAAGGGAAAGGTGAATGGCTCGCCATGAGAGTCCCCCCCCCTGCTGGTCCCACATGGAGCCATGCTTAAGTGCGCGGACTCTAATCTGGGAGAACCGGGTTTGAGTCCCCACTCCTCCACTTGGAGCTGGCTGGATGACCTTGGGCAAGCTGTAGTTCTGATAAGAGCTGTTCTTGAAAAAGAGCCGTTTCTGTCAGAGCTCTCAGCCCCACCGTCCTCACAGGGTGCCTGTTGTGGGGAGGGGAAGGGAAAGGAGTTGGTTGTCATGCCTGCCCCTGCCTTGACATTTGTAAGCCGCTCTGAGACACCTTTGGGTAGTGAAGGGCGGGGTATAAATCCAATCTCTTCTCTTCCCTTCTTCTTCTTCTTCTTCTTCTTCTTCTTCTTCTTCTTCTTCTTCTTCTTCTTCTTCTTCTTCTTCTTCTTCTTCTTCTTCTTCTTCTTCTTCTTCTTCTTCTTCTTCTTCTTCTTCTTCTTCTTCTTCTTCTTCTTCTTCTTCTTCTTCTTCTTCTTCTTCTTCTTCTTCTTCTTCTTCTTCTTCTTCTTCTTCTTCTTCTTCTTCTTCTTCTTCTTCTTCTTCTTCTTCTTCTTCTTCTTCTTCTTCTTCTTCTTCTTCTTCTTCTTCTTCTTCTTCTTCTTCTTCTTCTTCTTCTTCTTCTTCTTCTTCTTCTTCTTCTTCTTCTTCTTCTTCTTCTTCTTCTTCTTCTTCTTCTTCTTCTTCTTCTTCTTCTTCTTCTTCTTCTTCTTCTTCTTCTTCTTCTTCTTCTTCTTCTTCTTCTTCTTCTTCTTCTTCTTCTTCTTCTTCTTCTTCTTCTTCTTCTTCTTCTTCTTCTTCTTCTTCTTCTTCTTCTTCTTCTTCTTCTTCTTCTTCTTCTTCTTCTTCTTCTTCTTCTTCTTCTTCTTCTTCTTCTTCTTCTTCTTCTTCTTCTTCTTCTTTTGTGGTACAGCATCCGACTGGCGTACAGAAGGTCCAAGGGTCAACCCTCAGCATCTCCCGCTAAAAGATCTGGCAGTAGGTGATGTGAAAGACCTCTGCCTGAGATGCTGCAGAGCAGCTGCCCGTCAGAGTAGACAATACTGACCTCAATAGACCAAGGATCTGATTCAGTATAAGGCAGTATTGTGTGCTCACTTACATATTTAGGAAAGGTTGTAGTTCACTGGTAAAGGTGTCTGTTGTGGGGAGAGGAAGGGAAGGAGATTATAAACCGCTCTGAGACTCCAATCTCTTCTTCCTCTTCTTCTTCCTAGAAGTGAGAACTGGGTCTGAGAGCCCAAAATGGGTACAAAGACATCCACGCCTGGCACTGTTAGTGGGTAGAGCCCTAAGCGTCCGTGAGGCACCTGCACTCAAATACGGCCGGCGTCTTTCAGAAACGCGTTCAGCTTGGCCGCAGGGGATCGGAGCGAGTGCTCGCGTCCTTACTTTGAGCTGCAGATGTGAGAATTGCAGAAGGCTCAGATGTCGGCGTCTGTGGCGCTGGAGAGAAGGCGGGTGACTGATCTGCTTTTTACCAGGAGCATCAGAGACAAAACAAGGCAAAGCTTTTCCCAGTAGAAGTCTTTGCGTGGCGTGGAAGCCGAGGGAGGAGCGTGGGCGCTTGGTCTCTGCTTGTAACGTTAATGGAGATGAAGGGGGGGGGAGGTTTCTCTGCAGGTGGTGGTTGTCTGACAACTCAGCATCAGTCAGCGTTTGGCTGGAGAAAACAGTATGTAGAGCCGGCGTGTGCGCCGAGCAGCCGGAGTGAAGATTACGCACAGTGGAGCACGTTCTTGGCAAAAGGCAGTTAAAAACGGGAGGGGGGGGGATGTTATTGGCGGTATGTATTCGAAAGGTGGTTTTGCTCTTCGATAATCATCCAAAGCAGTTTTCAGGTGGGTAGTCAGCATCATAGAATCATGGAAGGGACCTCCAGGGCCAACTAGTCCATCATAAGAGAACGTAAGAACATAAGAGAAGCCAATGCTGGATCAGGCCAACACCCCATCCAGTCCAACACTCTATGTCACACAGTGGCCAAAAATACCAGGGGCCATCAGGAGGTCCAGCAGTGGGGCCAGGACACTAGAAGCCCTCCCACTCTTGCCCCCCCCAAGCACCAAGAATACAGAGCATCCCTTGCCCCAGACTGAGAGTCCCTATCTGTACCTTGTGGTTAATAGCCACTGATGGACCTCTGCTCCATATGCTTATCTAATTCCCTCTTGCAGCCATCCATGCTTGTAGCCGCCGCCACCTCCTGTGGCTGTGAATTCCAT